CAGCATTGGCTGGCCCAACCAGGTTCCTTCATAACATCGGTAGTAGCTAGGAGAGAGCTGCAATATTTCTATAACTCCATTTTTTTGATCCTTGTTATTATATCTTATTTTTAAAATTTGCTATAGGGCACATGTACTCACTGGAGAGAGGAGAGAGACAGGGAGAGTGGGAATTCACCCCCCAGAGGCCTGGCCACACTGCAATCCCTTCTCCTCCATTCTCCTCTCAGGATTTTGGGCATACATCCACATGTGCCTAGCGGGTTTTTTCAAATTACCAGGTCTAGGACTTGAATTGTGCAGTCAGCTATGTGGGATCCAACCTCCTTAACCACCAGACCATCTAGTTGGCCTGAACCTAATTAATTTGTATTTGGAGTACTCTGGACTAGGTCATTCCATCAATCCATGTAGAATTTTTCTTTCCTTTTTTTTTTTAAGAATTATTTAATTTGATTTATTATAATTTTCAAAAATTTGCTATAAGGGGGCGTGGTGGCACCTGCCCTATGGCAAAAACCTATGGAGGCTGGAGGATTTTGACATGGAGTCCATCTCTAGGGGCCAGCAGGTGGTGTGGCTGGTTAAGGCACTACTGGACTCCCACATGGCTTTCCACGGTTTGAGTCCTGGACCTGGCGGCTTGCTTTCTCACTCTCCCTCCCACTCTCTCTTTCTCTCTCTCTCACTCTGTCCCTATCTGGTCAAATTAAAATAAATAAATAAGTAAATAAAGTTTAAAAAAAAATTTGCTGTAAGACACATGCCCTCATCAGAGAAAGACAGATAGAGGGACGGAAAGTGAGAAAGCAAGCTGCCAGGTCCAGGAACCACAGTTGGCCATGGAGGTTCAGTGTCCAAAAGCCTATACCACCTGCTGGCCCCAGTCCTTGCAAAATTTAAGGCCAGTCATCTAACCTCAATTGGGTCTTTTTATCTCTAGTCTGAACCAATTCTTTCACTTTTAAAAAATTCTTTTTCAGACTATCATTCTTTTCATCTCATGTGTATACTTTAAGATATTGCACTTAGAATTAAAAACATTTTCAGATTTGATCTATACAAACCTAAAATTCAGTGGGGTGATTAAAGAGGGGGCTTGGTGGCCGGGAGAATGAAAGTCAGTTACAGGAGGTTGTTGGGTATTGGCTGTGCATTGGTTAGCTTGCATATGAAACTGCTTGCTCCCTGGGTGACTTCTTTTCTATTTCAGGAATTAGTTAACCCTGGGAGGGACTCTCCCTCCAGTGTCAGCAAGGCCCCAGGCTGCCAAAGCATCAATCAGGAAATTTAAAAATGGAAACACATAGTGAATATATACTTCTTATCAAGTATAAGAAGTATACCCTGACAAGTTCATTCTCTCCTTTAAGCAAGCTATACAGGAATGAAATTATTAGGCTTCATATTTAATCAGAGTATGAGTAGTTTATTTTTAAAAGACAAGGTCTCACTATGCTGCCTAGGCTGGCCTTGAACTTGAGATCCTCTTGACTCAGCCTCTCAAATAGCTGGAATTATAGGTGTGAGCTAATGTGGCTGGCTAGTTTCACTGTCTGACATGTTAAAAGGTTCATGTGCAAGATGCCTGTTGGGTGCATCTCCACCAAATATGCCAGGCTGGTATTCATCACCTTCCCTGGGCTTGCAGGGGCACTGTGTTGATGCTATAGTTTGAACGTGTCCCCAGAAATTCGTGTGTTGAAATGTGGTGAGAAAATTGTAATGGTGTTGGGAGAGTAGAGACGTAATCTGATGATGGGGTTGAAAGGCCCACCTTTGCAAGGTGATTGGAATTGCATAAGGTCATCAGGATGGGGCTCCATGACTGACTCCTGGTAGTTTTATAAAAACAGCAGACGCAGATAAGAGACATGCAGCTTCTTGCCCTGTGATGCCCTGTGCCCTGTGCTGTCTCAGGCCTCTGAAAGTGCCCACCCAGAAGACTCTCATCAAAATGGGACCCCCTTACCTTGGACCTCCAAAATCTGTTCTTTGTAAATTACCTAGACCCAGGCATTCAGTTAGTAAGTAGCAAAGAATGGACTAAAACCAGCACCTGTCTCAGTACCCGTCCTGCACAAAATGACTCCTACCATCAGTATTAGCTGTACTTTTTGGAAATTTGTGTACTAAGGAATTAAAAATGGGACCTATAGGGAGCAGCAGATAGCATAGTGGTTATGTTGCTGGGCTCCTACATGGTCTACTGCAGTTCAAGTCCCAGATCCAGTAGCTTCAAAATCATACCAGGTGTGTGTGCATGTGTGCCCAAGATCCCAGAAGGGATTGCAGTGTGGCCATCTTCCCTGAGGGGTGATTTCTCACTTTCTGTCTCTGTCTCTCCAATGAATACACACACCCTATAGCAAAAGTCTTAAAAAAAAAAGAGGTACTTGTAAACTAATAAATGAAGTGTCATCACACCTTTAAGATAAATCATTCCCTTACATGAAGTTAAAATATAACTTAAATACTAGGGCCAGCCAGTGTGGTGATTGAGGTGCTGGATCCCACATGGCTGACTGTGGTTCAAGTTCCAGACCTGGTGGCTTGAAAATCATGCTGGGCACATGTGTGTGAATCTCTAGAATCTTGAGAGGGGACTAGAAGAAAGGATTGAAGCATGGCATCCCCCTTGGGGGATTTTTCACTTTTCCTCTCTCTCTGGCGAATGTATACACCCTATAGTTAAATAAACAAAATTTACAAATATATAGATACATATCTCGGGGCCAGCAGGTGGCGTGTTGGTTAAAGCCACCAGATACCCACATGGCCTACAGCAATTTGAGTCCTGGACCTGGCAGCTTGCTTTTCTCGCTTTCCTTTTCTCTCGCTCTCTCTCATCAAATTAAAAAAACAAAAAATGGAATCAAATAAATATTTTTTAAAACAACAACGAAATATATAGATAGGGGACCAGCAGTTAGCGTAATGGCTATGTCGCTGGACTCCCATGTAGTCAACTGTGGTTCGAGTCCTGGACCCGGTGGCTTAAACTCACGCCGGGCGCATGCGCGTGCGTGCCCAAGATCCCGAGAGGAGAATGGAGGAGAAGGTTTTATATATACATATCTGAATCCTGTTGTAAATATCTGTCACTTATCACTGGGACCCCAGTGACATATTCCACTTAATGAAGTGTAAAATCCCATGAGCCATTGTCTCTTAGTTTTCTATTTACTCGAAGTAATATGTATGGCAAAAGTTTTCCTGAAATTATGTTGAAATATTTATCATTAGTATTTGAAAGATAAATAAAAAACCAGTAATAATCAAAATGATGTTTTAAATCTTTATTGATATCATTTAGTTTACCAATTAATTTATTTACATATTCTTCAATATTATAGTCTTACAACTTGATGTCAAGCACTTTTCTCCATATTAAAACTTGCAAAAGCAGTTACTAATAGCTGTCTAAAAACAACAGGTACGATTCTAAGTTCAGAATCAACAAATATTTCTAGTGTAATTAATATTACTGTTCTTCAAAACATTAAATGAAAAGACCTCCAATTACTTTTCAAAATAAAAGATACAAGTAATTAAATAATTACTATGTACATTACAACTTGCTTATATCAAATTACCAAGAAAAGCATCACGTGAATTTTAGACTCTCCTCTAGCCACAGAAGGCAAAAATTGTACATGACCATCATAATACTTTCAGGATTTTTAGAATTTTATTCTTTGTTGGAAAACTGCACATTGAAATAAGGATTCTTTACATAAACACCATAGTTTGAGGTCATGTGGATGATACAGTTGTTTTAAAATACTTTTATAATAGTCGCATGATACTGGTTTATTTTATTATTCACAAGTTCTAAAATACTAGATGACTGGAATGTCACACTAGGGAAATATTCTTCTACATTCTTATTGTATGTCTAATAACTACATGTCAGAAATAGATATTAATATTGACTGAATATTTAGCACTTCTATTGACTTTCTTAATGTTAGCCAACTAACCTAATAGTTTTTTTAATAAAGCAAGCATTTAATTTCTATTTGTGATGTGTTCCAAACTCTTTTATTATTGTTGTTACATTATGATTATTTGTCTGTTTCTTTGTGTAAGACAATAATTTGATATAAGTAAAGAAGAATGCATTTTAATGTTTGTACTATCTTGTTATTGGAAACATTGAATTGAATAGCCTCCCCAAATTAATAACAGGAATAAAATGATATGGACAAAAAACAATTCCATAAGATAACATCATAGAAAAGTTTAAAAAACAAAAGGAAAAAAAAAAAAGCCCACAAGCAGAAGCTACTAGTAGCTTGTAAAACTCTAACCAGTCAGTTTTCCATGTTAGGCTGACACCATGAATATTAATTGCCCAGTCTACTAGGCTGTTAGACTCCTCCTGGTTTAAGTTAGATTTTAAGCTCACCTACAGTCAACACTTTTTTAAGAATTACTTCTTTCTTTGAAGCTTAAGTTCAACTTAAGCTCAAGTTCACTGTAGTTATTACTATTTTCTGTCATGCTTTTGGCATCAAGGGAAATTACAATCTTATTAAATGACTCGAAAACATTATTTCCTGTAAGTATTTAATCTGAAATTTCAGAAATATTATCTCCTTTCTTTGTTAAATTTTTGTTTAAGCAAACAATTTGGACCACCTGAGGGCTATAAAATACTGGGGGTTTTAAGAAAAATTGCTTTCATTTTGTTTGCGGGAATTGCCTTAGCAGAAACTCTGTATATCATTTGTGTGTTCACAGTGGCTAGTATAAAATGCATTACATTTTGATTTTCTTAAGCATTCTGCGCTAATTAATTATGAGAGTTAAAAGGACGGACATTTAAGATTTCTCCTCTAGTTCTCTATTTCTCTAATAGAGACATTTGAAGAAAGTGTATTGTCTAGACAGCTCTTAAAAATGTACTAATTGCTTAATTTGTTCTGTTTGCAATGACTGTCTCCTTAACAACGTTTATATATATATATATACACACACACATATCTGAATCCTGTTGTAAATATCTGTCACTTATCACTGGGACCCCAGTGACATATTCCACTTAATGAAGTGTAAAATCCCATGAGCCATTGTCTCTTAGTTTTCTATTTACTCGAAGTAATATGTATGGCAAAAGTTTTCCTGAAATTATGTTGAAATATTTATCATTAGTATTTGAGAGATAAATAAAAAACCAGTAATAATCAAAATGATGTTTTAAATCTTTATTGATATCATTTAGTTTACCAATTAATTTATTTACATATTCTTCAATATTATAGTCTTACAACTTGATGTCAAGCACTTTTCTCCATATTAAAACTTGCAAAAGCAGTTACTAATAGCTGTCTAAAAACAACAGGTACGATTCTAAGTTCAGAATCAACAAATATTTCTAGTGTAATTAATATTACTGTTCTTCAAAACATTAAATGAAAAGACCTCCAATTACTTTTCAAAATAAAAGATACAAGTAATTAAATAATTACTATGTACATTACAACTTGCTTATATCAAATTACCAAGAAAAGCATCACGTGAATTTTAGACTCTCCTCTAGCCACAGAAGGCAAAAATTGTACATGACCATCATAATACTTTCAGGATTTTTAGAATTTTATTCTTTGTTGGAAAACTGCACATTGAAATAAGGATTCTTTACATAAACACCATAGTTTGAGGTCATGTGGATGATACAGTTGTTTTAAAATACTTTTATAATAGTCGCATGATACTGGTTTATTTTATTATTCACAAGTTCTAAAATACTAGATGACTGGAATGTCACACTAGGGAAATATTCTTCTACATTCTTATTGTATGTCTAATAACTACATGTCAGAAATAGATATTAATATTGACTGAATATTTAGCACTTCTATTGACTTTCTTAATGTTAGCCAACTAACCTAATAGTTTTTTTAATAAAGCAAGCATTTAATTTCTATTTGTGATGTGTTCCAAACTCTTTCATTATTGTTACATTATGATTATTTGTCTGTTTCTTTGTGTAAGACAATAATTTGATATAAGTAAAGAAGAATGCATTTTAATGTTTGTACTATCTTGTTATTGGAAACATTGAATTGAATAGCCTCCCCAAATTAATAACAGGAATAAAATGATATGGACAAAAAACAATTCCATAAGATAACATCATAGAAAAGTTTAAAAAACAAAAGGAAAAAAAAAAAAGCCCACAAGCAGAAGCTACTAGTAGCTTGTAAAACTCTAACCAGTCAGTTTTCCACGTTAGGCTGACACCATGAATATTAATTGCCCAGTCTGCTAGGCTGTTAGACTCCTCCTGGTTTAAGTTAGATTTTAAGCTCACCTACAGTCAACACTTTTTTAAGAATTACTTCTTTCTTTGAAGCTTAAGTTCAACTTAAGCTCAAGTTCACTGTAGTTATTACTATTTTCTGTCATGCTTTTGGCATCAAGGGAAATTACAATCTTATTAAATGACTCAAAAACATTATATCCTGTAAGTATTTAATCTGAAATTTCAGAAATATTATCTCCTTTCTTTGTTAAATTTTTGTTTAAGCAAACAATTTGGACCACCTGAGGGCTATAAAATACTGGGGGTTTTAAGAAAAATTGCTTTCATTTTGTTTGCGGGAATTGCCTTAGCAGAAACTCTGTATATCATTTGTGTGTTCACAGTGGCTAGTATAAAATGCATTACATTTTGATTTTCTTAAGCATTCTGCGCTAATTAATTATGAGAGTTAAAAGGACGGACATTTAAGATTTCTCCTCTAGTTCTCTATTTCTCTAATAGAGACATTTGAAGAAAGTGTATTGTCTAGACAGCTCTTAAAAATGTACTAATTGCTTAATTTGTTCTGTTTGCAATGACTGTCTCCTTAACAACGTTTTTTTACTTTTGAATTCCTTAGGGAAAATAGGAACTGTTGGCATAAGTGCTTTTTGACCACAAGAAAGAAGGTTGCAAAGCTTGTTGTTGACATTGATATCTGAGATGGGAGGGTGAGGACTTACATGTAAAGGGGGCAGAAATCCTGGTCTGGTTTGCATGACACTGTGATCTAGGGGGAAAGCCCCTGAACCACGCCTTTCTAAAATTGCATGATTTCTCCTGCTCAGGGGGGCTGGGGGGATCGTCTCCAGCAATTCTTTGGACCCTGACAGCAGAGAAGGAGATGGCGAGAGGATCTTTTTCTTTCCGGTAAGTGCTTTGCCATCTTCTGCAGGTGCAGGGATAAGGCCAGCTGAGAGCTGGGAATCTGAGCTGTAATGATTTGCCCCCGAGTTTCTTTTTTGGACTATACTTCTTAAGGTGGAAGCAAATATTGTTTGGTTAGTATCTGGGTCCTGGTCAACAGGAATTTCAACACATTGCTGATTTCCTTCTGACAAGAAAGACTGATAATTTATTTCATCATAGGACATCTTCCTTGAGCTGGCCTGATCCAAGGCTCTTAGCAAATGTGCAGTGTCTTTTACATCTATGCTTTGGTGCCTAGTGATGAATCTCTTAGAAAGTGCCAGCCCATTGGTTTTGTAGGCTAATTCTTCCTCTGGAGTAATATCCTGGAGCTCCTCCTGCAAGGAGGCCACTCTGTTCTGGTGCATTAATGATGGGGGACTCTTGATCCAGAGCGGAGCCTGGGGTAGCTTGGGGCCATTAGGTGCCAGAGCAAGCTTCCTCACGGGGGAGCCTGGGTCCCGGGGATCATCACAGACTCCAGTGGGCTCCAGGTCATTAAAGCCAAAAGGTGTCAGTTCAGCTTCCAAAGAGTGTGACAGTGGCGATGAGGCTGTTTTGATGTCGATATCTGAAGGTGTGGTGCAGGTGGCTGGGGAGGGACAGCCGTCTATCTCCGCAGGAGGCATGTTTAGGTACTGTTTGGTAGTGTGCTTCCCCGAAGGTGACTTTGCTGTCGTTATGATGATGACCTCTTTGCCCTTTGCCTTGCATGCACTAAGGAGAACTTTCAGGGTCTCTCTGTCTTCTGAGTTTATCGCATAAACAAGAGCTGAGTAACTAGAATGGTCTTGCAGGGTGAGGTCAGCCCCGCTCTTTAGGAGCAAAGAAACAACTTCAGGACCAGCTTTTTCTAAGCAAGCATGCATCAGAGCAGTTTTTCCAGATTTGTCCTGGATGTTGGGGTCAGCGTTGTTCTCTAACAGGTATTTCACCATCTTGGCTTTACTGACACTCTGCTGATCCACATGTCTGGTCTTACAAGCGATCATCAGCGGTGTCTCCCCACGGTCGTTGCTCTCATTAATGTAGGCACCACCTTCTAGCAAAAGTCTTGTGAGGCGAAGTCGGCTCTGATGAACTGCTTTGATCAAGGAATTTCCATCACTTGAAATTTCTTCATCCATTTTTAAAAATCAGAAATTAATACCTGATTCTCAAAGAAGATGAAGACTAAAAGATTAGCCAGAATTTCATCTTGATTTGTATTTATTTTGTTACAATTAACTTCTAAAATATGTATAAAGGAGACAAAAATGGGCATTTGCTATTAAATGCCAAGCAAAATAGTGACCTGTAAAATAAAAGCAAATTTTTAAATAATAATGACCTTCAGGGAATGATGGACTAAAATTTATCTTCAAAATATTTATGATGTAACACCAACATAACAGTTTTCTAAATCGTGCATTATTAAACAATAATTCATTTATTTCTTACCTGTAAAAAATATCTTAAAATTAATAATATTAAGGGGCCAGCAGGTGACATAGTGGTTAAAGTGCTGGATCCACATGGTTTGACTGTGGTTCGAGGCCCAGACGTGGTGGCTCGAAAATCATGCCAGGTACGTGTGCGTGCATGCCCAAAATTCCAGGAGGAGAATGGAGGAGAAGGAATTGCAGTGTGGCCATCCCCCGTGGACAGTGACTTCTCACTTTCCTTTTTTCTGTATCTCTGTCTGTCTCTGGCAAGCACATATTCCCTCTGGCAAAAACCTAAAAATAAATAAATAAAAGCAAAAAAAGCCAAAATTCTGGATAATTACAACTGAACCAATTAGAATATACGACGTTAATGGTGGCTTAAAGTAAAAACTTGAATATTAAGTTACTTATACATCCTTGTCAGTTAAATGATACAAGTGATATCTAGATTTTCAACTTGATGGGCATTTCTCTGTTTCTTTTAAAGGATGAAAATCTATTTGGACTACAAAATGTTATGATGTTGGGTTAGCTCTGTAGCCCTGTGGTTAAGGGAGCTGCATACCATGTGGCCCACTGCAGTTCAAGTCCCAGTCTCAGGGACTTGAAATACACACTAGGTACAGGTGCACATGTGTGTGCCCAAATTGCCAACAGGTTGAAGACATGGAAGAGAGGGATTGCAACATGATCATTCCTTGGGTGGTGCTTTCTCCCTCTCCCTCTCTCCCCCTGACAAGCACACACACTCTCTACCAATTCTTAAACATACATATTTTTAAGTTATACTGTCTAAAATTCACCCTGAGATAGGAATGATGAGAATGACATTATATACTTTACTTGATTCCATTGTTTAAATCATCTGCTGCCTGGATTATGGAGTTAGCAACTTCTACTGGGTTAAATTTTGACAGCAGTACATTTGCTCTGAAAAAGGAGTCTTATAGGTAAAAACTTGAATGATGACCATACTGACTTTATAAAGATTTTAACTTTTATCATTGAAACAAACAAATTTATGTTTGGGGCCAGCAGGTGGCATAGTGGGTAAGGCACTGGACTCCCACATGGCCAATTGCAGTTTCAGTTCTGAATCCAGTGGTTTGAAACTCATGCCAGGCACATGTGCATGTGTGCCTAAAATACCAAGAGGAGAATAGGGGAGAAGGGATTGCAGGGTGGCATTCCACCCTGAGGGGTGACTTCTTTTTCCCTCTCACTGTCTTTCTCTGTCTCTCCAGTTAGTGCGTGTACCCTCTGGCAAAAACCTTTAAAAAAAATTATGTTTAAATAACTTGGAGTCAAACTCCTTCCAAATGTAATTTCAGTAGGTGATAAAAATTATATCATCAGGCCAGCAGGTGGCGAAGTGGTTAAGGCACTGGACTTCCACATGACCAACCATGGTTTGAGTCCCAGATGTGATGACATGCTTTCTCACTTTCCCTTTATAAATAAATAATAACAACAAATAAAATTAAATAATTCCTTTAAAAAAATTGTATCTTCATCTAGAGCTGAGAAATTTTTTTCTCTAACAGTCCTTAGAAAAATCAAATGGAAGCTTATATTACATTTAAATATATTTAATTTAATTTAATTGGGTAGTTTTTAGATATTGAAAAATATTCTACTCATTTATTCTTAAGATTATGAGATATAAATTTTGACTTGACAACAGAATAGAGGAGAAATATAATAACCTCTTAGAAAGAAACAAGAAATGAAGAGAACAAAAAGTGAAGGAAAAAGAGAAAGGAAGGCATGCATGTAGAAATTCATTCCATTTTTAAATATCTAAGTTTTTCATTATTGTTTTTGGTTTTTGTTTTTTTGCCTTAAGATGTGTGCACTTACCAGAGAAAGGAAAAGTGAGAAATCACCCCCAGGAGGGATGGCTAAGCTGCAACCCCTTTTCCTCCATTCTCCCCTCAGGATTTTGGGCACACATGCACATGCGCCTCACATGATTTTCAACCTGCAGGCTCCAGGACTCAAACTACAGTCAGCCATGTGGAAATCCAGTGCCTTAACCACTGCGTCACCTGCTGGCCCCTATCTGTAATATCTTGATATATGCTGGGCACTATGCTGCACAGACACACACCTTGCCCAGGAGGGGTTCAGTCTTTTGGAACAGGTACTATATGAGCAGCTAGCTGGCTACAAGGAGTTAGGAGAACAAGGAAGCTTTTTTTTAACTTTATTTATTTTAATTTGACCACAGAGGGACAGCATGGGGGAGGGGTGAGAAAACAAGCCGCCAGGCCCAGGACTCAAATCGTGATCAGCCATGTGGGAGTCCAGTGCCCTTAACTACCAAGCCACCTGCCGGCCCCAAGAGAACAAGAAAGCTTTAACAACTTGGGGACACAAGAGCGCTTCACAGAAGCCAGCCCTCTGAGCTGGGTCTCTAAGACTATAAGAACTGACAGGCAAAGCAGGAAGGGAGGTATAAAGAACACTCCTTGGGCAAAGACCTAAAGGCATACGACAGTAGTTATCTATCGTGAAACTGGCCTTATTTACACAGATATAACCAAACACCAGGAAAATATTTTAGCAGATGGTGAGAGTTAGGGGTAATGTGGCAGAACATACACACCTATTAATAATTTTGCTCCTTCCCGAATCCTCCTGAAACTACCAAGAAATAAACTCACAGAGAGAGAGAGGGCAAAGGAGAAAAGATAACAGTGTGTAATGACAGGAATGAAACGCTGGAAGCCAGAAAGCAGATGGGCCAGTAGTAACTGACTCAGCCAACCTGAGAAAGAAGTTGGTGATGGTAAAAGCTGAGAATGAATCCAATACACACTGCACCCTCAAAAGATGTAGCAGCAGGAAGCTTTAGAACCGGGGGAGAGGGGTGTTAGGAATACAGCTAAAATAAGGAGGACTAGTTAAAAACTATTAGAAGGGCAGATAGATTCCCGGGCCCTGGCTGCTGGAAGTGGAACCCACCTTGGCCCACCACCAGGAGCAGCAGCTGTCACCAGAAAGCTTATTCAATGTACAGGATCTCAGACCCCACAGCTGCTGAATCAGAGCTTACATTTTAAGTAGATCCCCAGGTGGTCTGTATGCACAATAAAGCTTTGAGAAGTGTTCTTAGGTCATTCCTCCAACTCCAAACCACTAGGCCATTGGACTGCCCACTCCCACCCTAGCACATGGCTAGGGGTCTATTCTCTGGAAATGGTGCAGCACAAGGACTCTGGCCTGGGAGACACCAGGTATATTTCAGAACAAGAAAATGGGAGAATAAGTGCTTACTGACCTCTGCATGAAGGGACCCACAGCCTCCTTCTCCTGCTTGGCTCCAAGAGGGCTGGCAGCTATGCCCTGACCTCTCAGGCAAAAATCGCCATACTCTTCTCTCAAGGATTGAGCTGCCTGAGAGAGAATATGGAAGGACCGAGTGCAGGGTTTCCCAACATGCCGCCTAGAATTATTCTACAATGACAAGCCTCACTGGGTGTGCAAGACTTCTGACCAGCTTTTTTTCTTTAATTATTTATTTATCTTATTTATTATCATTATTCTTCAATTTGACCAGAGAGAGACAGAGAGAGAGTATGAGAGAGCAAACCACCATGTCTAGGATTTGAACTATGATCAACCATGTGGGAGTCCAGTGCCTTAATCACCATACCACCGGCCAGCCCTATCTCATCAGGTCTTTAATCCCAAACCTTTGATCATGAACAGTCAAAATAAAAACCAAAACAACAACAACAAAATGCCTCTTCCATTAAAGAGAAATAATAAATAGACAAACGACTTGGAGGAAACAGCTATTAGGAAAATGAAAACTTCAGGCCAGCAGGTGGCGTGGTGGTTAAGGAGCTGTACACTCCCACATGGTCAGCTGCGGTTCAAGTCATGGACCTGGTGGCTTACTTTCTCGCTTTCTCTCTCTCTCTCTCGTCGAGTTAAAATAAATGAATGAATAAATTAAATAAATAATTCTTAAAAAAAAAAAAGATTCTATGAAACAGGAATATACAGAGACCATGAAAAGAGCTCTCAAAAGGTAAAAACATGATACAATCTGCAGAACCCAGTAGAAGGGTTGGAAGATAATGGTGAGAAAATCTCTAACACAGCCAAGCAAAAAAAAAAAAAGAAAAAAAAAATCCCAATTCAGTCAGAGGACTAGACCAGAAAAGCCGACATCCAAATACAAGTTCCAGCGGAGAAAACAGTGAGGGTCAGGAGCAAGGGGCAAGCAGAAAAGGAGATCATCAGAGATCAAGAAAATTGTTTTAGGGGCCAGTAGGTGGAGTGGTGGTTAAAGTGCTAGATCTTACATGGCCAATTGCAGTTCAAGTCCTGGACCCGGCGTCTTGAAAAACATGCTGGGTACGTGTGCATGCATGCTCCAATTCCCAGGGAAAATGGAGAAGGAATTGTGGTGTGGCATCCCCACTAGGGGGTGATTTCTCACCTTCCCTCTGTCTGTGTCTCTCCAGCAAGCGCACGTACCCTGTGACAAAAATCTAAAAAAAGAAAAATGTTTAGATCTGAGGGATGTGAGTTGCCAGACTGAAAGGGCTCAATGAGAGCACAGCACAAGAATGAACATAAACCCTGCCTATGGCACTGGGTTGTAAATTTCCAGAACTCAGAACAGAGAAGATTCCCCAAGCCTGGGGTCGGGAGTAGTGGTGGGCTGGGCAGCCAGGGTGGTTATTAGTCATATACACTAAAGGACCAAAAATGAGTATAGACTCAGATGTGTCAATAGTATCATGAACGACAGTGAAGAACTGTTTTTATAAATTGGAAGGAAAACGATTCTCAGATTTCTAAAGTTAGCCAAACCATCAGGCAAGAATTGGGATGCGGTCTTGA